ATTTATTTAATTCTGCATTTACGTATTTATTCATTTATTTATACTCAAGTCATTTCTCGTCCTCCATAGAGAACAGCATCACTTTCACAGCTCAATACACTTTCACTCATATTGTTTCCAAGCACAACCGGCAGAAGACTGTGTATTAACGACAGTCATGTACAAAATCTAAAACAGAACTACAATTCTATTACTCACACAGCACTTAGTAATTAAGTCATCTTTAGGTTCAGGAGCCCTACGCAACTTGCATACTTTGCATGTAGGGAGGACCGGCACGGCCTCAATGGGTTGATGATTTTCCATCGACCACTGTCACATGATTCTGGTCTCAATGAATTACAGTGTATATAAGTAAAGATTTTGAACATTTCGTTCATTGAGATCCAATGTGTGATTTAAGTGTTCTTCTAACTTTTTGATCAGTGTAATTAGTACTATTTATATAATACGCAAGTATGTCTTAAATTGGGTTCATCCTCTTTCCGGATGCCATTAAAGAGGAAAGGCAGGACCGAGTGAGCACTGCTGATGAGAATGCATCCATGTCTTGTTACACAGGCATTTAAAATATATTACCATCAACAAACCACAGTTTTGTTTAAAAATGATGTTACATCATCTAAAACGGTCAAAAATATCATATACAGTAATCTCACAAGATTATCTCACGACTTATCTCACAAGGATTTGACTGGATAGAAAACATCTGTAGATATATAGTGGTAATAATATCTATTCAAATATAATACAATTGATAAAATGACATTTTAAAATATTTTAAAGTTTGAAGGTCAAGATGTATACTAGATGCATAGACAGACAGATGTGGACAGAAGTATGTTAGGAGGATCAGTACAATACACAATTTCATATTTATTTACAGGGCATTTACTGCTTCTTAGAGGTTACTCTTTGTATTTTTCATACATAATTTTCTGTGTACGTAGCTGTTGTCTAACATCTCAGCTTCTATAATCTTCTAAAATGGTTTCCTCTGTAGGATCTGCTTTAGGGATTTTCAGTTCATAGACATCCCCTCTCCAGCTTAACCCGTCTGGATTCTAGGGGGACATTGTCATAGTTGCTGTAAATCTGAGAGAGGAAAGAGGACATATTTCGGTGGTATTCACTCATCTTTCAGGAAGGTCACATGGGCCATTTGTCACTGAACGGGCTGCTATATACAGAAGAACCTAATGAGTGTCCTCTATTAAATCATTATACTTCGTAATTTACTGTCTTTGCTCTGCTTAGTCTGATAACAATTTGTGTTTATTGACTTTTTATTTGTGTGAAAGAGGACTGTATTCTCTACGATCATGAACTTTAAAGCAGACAGACGGTATTGGCCTCAGCTGCTTTGCTGGTGTCTTGGTCCAGTGAAGGAGATGGTAATAACTAAGTAAAGTCTGCTGGGTCAATAGAAAAGATCACCTGATTCTTAAAGATATTATCATGATTTTTATTGGGTTTCTGGTCGCGTAACAAAACAGGATTCCTAAGGGACATTTCTTTTATGCCATCACAAAACTGAATCACAGGTGGAATTAGATTTTGTTAATAAAAATAATAAAAACTAAATCACTAATTCCGTCAACACAACAGAGAGGCATAGGCAGGGCTTTTCTCAAATAGATACTTCAGTGACAGAAGTTCATCTGTAGTATTAATGTAATGAACAGAAAAGATGACACTCTGTAACATCTTCACTGTTATGCTGAGTTCACACTGCACAATTTTAGCCCGATTTTTCACTCGC